CAGTATGCTAAATATCAATCAAACACTCTTTAGGGGAATTTAAAATTGCCCTATAGGGGAAGTCAAAATTTTGATTTCAACTGGCATTCTTTCAGGAGAACTCGAAATTTTGATTTCTCCTAGGGGAATTTTAAATCGCCCTAGATTTTGATTTCCACTGCAATATATATATATATATATATATATGCGAAATGCAACAACCACCAAAGTGACGATATAAATGCATCAAAATAATAAATAGACAAACTAAAATATTCTAAAAAAAAGAAAAAAAACTGGAGGACATGAAACGTTAGAAATGTCTCTATCAGATAATCAACTAATTAACTCGAAACAATAAAAAAACTTTAAAATTACAAATAATAATAATAAAAAAAAAAAAAAAATAAAACACACTATCCATCCTCAACATTCTCAAATACATACAAAAAATAATATACAATCCATACAAACAAATATTGCGTCGGTAAATGACAAAAAAAAAAAGAAAAGAAAAAATTATTATTGCACATTGCTGTTAGATGAAGACTTCTATTTACAAAACGTGCATCTGTTCAACAAGTGAGATAATTACCCGTTGTTTAAATGAAATAAGTATTAAAATAAAAGTATAAATATAAGTATGAAATAAGTCGGAAGACTTAATCGATATTCATTCGTACAGTACTAATGGTACCACATTTTATTGTATTGTTATTTTGACTGGTAATACTAGATGTACGATTTAATGGAAATTCTTACATTTAACTTTGTTAGAGTCAAAATTGTTTTGTTTAGAGATATTTCATTTGTCTTTTGTTGTTCTTTGTTTATCTGTATTTGTTGTTGAAATTGATGAAGTGATTGTAGACATTTTTTTCTCTACTGTTGTTGATGTATTTCCATTTGTTGTTTTATCTTGTAATGGAGTTCTTAATTTTTTCATATCTGATGTTGATAAAGATGTTGGCGTATTATTTGTTGTCGATAATAATTTTGATTTTATAAGATTATGATTTTTTTGATTTTCAACATTTGTTGTTGTCGGTTCATCAAGTGATTTTGAAAATGGTGTATGTTTGGTATTGATAGTTAACATTTGTACTGGTGAACGAATTGTTGATTTAGATAAATTATTATTATCAATAGTCGAATAGTCATATGTAGTGGCCATAGCCGATGTTTTTTTTTCTCTAAATCGTTTTTCATTTACTTTATCAACAATACGTTTAATATTCCAACCATTTATATTTCGATCTAATGATCCACTTAATAAGAGTGAATAATCTGTTTGTACTGTAAGTGCTGTACATTCTACTGCTCTTAAATGTTGTCGACGTTGAACATATAATTTTTCACCTTGTGTAGAATAGAGACGAATATCTCGATTATCTAACGGTACAGCAATAAGATCTTGAGCATATGAGAGACGATTACATGGTGAATTACAATCAATTGAAATTAGAGCTGAACGAATATTTCGTTGATCCCATATATGAACAAATTCATCATCGGATGAAGAGACAACACGTTCATTACCAATGAAAAGAGCTGAATTAACTGTTTTTATATGACCGTGGAATATTTGAACACTGTGAACAGGTTGACGACAATCCCATAAACGAAATGTGGCATCACCTAAAATAAAATATAAAGAAATAAATGATAATAATAATTATATGAATACATTAGAGATTGACTCTTTTTCAAATAATTATTCTTTCTAATAACAATCTCATAATAAAAAAATTCAACTGATTTGACATCTCTGTCTGTTGATCTTACATTTTGACTGTTCTTTATAACTAATTTCCTTTTATTACTTTTTATCGGATAGTGTGTGATTTATCATATCTGACATTCAAAAACTCTAAAAAATCAATCAAAACGAAAAGAACATCATACGATTTATTGTAACATTATATAGACATGTAGTACTTTTCTAACTATATATGTCACTGATTTTTAGTATATTTTCAACAAATTTATTAATAGACCATCCTTCTATACGAGATTAAAAACAAAACAAAAACATTTTTAGATAAAGAAAGGAGAAACGATTTTCTTCATAGGTAATATTTTTGTAGTAAAAATACGAGATAAAAAACATGTACTGATGATAGAATACGATAAGAATGACATAACAGCAGGAGCACTTTAAGAAATGTCAGTAAGTAGTCGATTTTTCTTATCCAAAACTACTTCAAGTAATTTATACATATTATTTATTAATTTGATGGGTACACTTGTTTACAGGTTTTTTTTTTCATTTTCGTTATTTGACAGAAAAACAAATGGCATCAATTATTTTTCACAATATATCAGATAAAAAGTGCAAATTTTTATGAGAGAAAGATAGTTATGTGTAGAATGTGATGATATATCTTATAAACAACACTATTTTGACGAACATAAACAAAAAAGCATACACGTCTGTCAGATATTCTTATTTACGCTTAGAGTCATCTTCACAAAACACTATTATAAAAGAAAAATGTTTACAAACAAAACGACAGTATTCAAAATTCATAATTTTTTTATACATTTAGAATGGATAAGCAATCAGATCTCTCTAACATCTCGATTTGTAGGACAAATTGTGCTGAATATCTATTCTCGTACTCTCAACTATATTTAGATTTGATGACATATCACGATTACTGGAATAAGATGATACTATACAAAAAGTAAAAATGACAACTAAAAATGCACAATGAACGATTCGACAAACATCTGAGAAAATCAAAGAAAAAGTAGAACAAGCAATATATTAACGGCTTGGCCAAATGTTATGGAATTTCATTTTTTTGTCTTCTGTATTCCTTATCTCGGCAAAGAAGCAACGTTTATCGACGAAAATTATACCAATGATGGATATTAGGGAGTTCTATGACTGAGAATAATTTGAGCTTGATTGAACAAGCGGATCAAAAGTTACAGTCAAAATAGAGGTTGTTACGGTATTTCAAAAAATGGAAGTGTTTGTCGGGGTATTCTAGTAAAATGTAAATTATTTAGCGTTAAATTAATTTTAAAATGACTACTTACTTACCAAATTAAAGCTCACAGTTTGGACTATCAGAATCATTACTAATTTTTTCTTGAATTAGTTCCCTGGCAGACGAAATCGAATAAAAGTGACCGTTACAGAATTTTACCGTTTTTTGCGCTTCTTTGCAGATGGTATGGTATATATTTTTTGTCACAGAACTACCTAGCAAGCTCTGATTTGCACATAGATAGATAGTTTGAAGTGCCCTTCATCCCATGTAGTCAAAACTAAATTTTCAAAGTTAGATTAAATGGGCATAAAATTGCTCACAAAATAAGCGTCAAAACGTTTTTAAGAAAAAAAAAATTTTCTTTGGCATCTAAAACAAATGAGCCTTTTGGTAGAGAATTTGATTCTCTATCCGACGGTATAGTTTTCAGATATTTTTGAAAAAATATCTAGGTCAAGAAATTAAATTTTAAATTTTACAAATTTAAATTTTCACCACGAAGATTTGATTTTCATTTGTTTTTGAGTCCAGATTTGTAATCACCGTGAAAAACTGCGTCTAATGGTGTATCTTTAAGCTTTGCTCAAGTTAAAACAAAAATTCGAATCTTTTCATCCAAAGATGGACCGTTAGCTGGTCACACCGTTAAAAATAATATAAAAGATATGAACAAGTAGAGACGGGAAGAGTTAATATCGAATTTCACGGTGGTGGCTGTGAAAGAGTTGAAACAAAGGTAGGGAAAACTATTAAACTATTAAAATACAAATGAAATACGATAAATGTGATTAAAATAGAATGATTCACATGAAATGAGATATATCGATAGAACTCAGTTGTGTTAAGTTGAAACTTCCATTTGTTCGCCATTAGTTTTTCACCTAATTAATTGATATTGGATCCATATACAAAAAAAAAATTAAGTATTCTCGACAGAAATAGTAACTTGAAACAGTTGATCACTAAACATTTATCTATAGCAATGAACTAATCAGGTTCAACGATATGACAGCTATTTTCTTTTTTCTATTAATCAAATAGCTGACATGAAAAATATGTTTTCACACATTATAAATTAAATTCTAGTTAGTTATACTCGTTACTCAGTTGTCATACTAAAGACATAAATCAAAAATAGATAATTTCCTGTTAAAATCCTCTCAATTTTTACAATATGTTGTTTTTAGTATATTTTTCACTATATTTTCTAAATATTTTTTCTTCTCGCATTTCGCAACAATATACTCGTTGCAAATTTTGAATGCAAGATTTTTCTTTACGTTTACATGCATGTACGTTACTTCTGTCAAAATCAAACAATTAAATGAATGTATCAATGTATGAGTGAATATGCAGCAAAGATTTATCACACAAAGACAATCCTTGTACAGATAATAGACAGAATCGAACAAATTTCACTTCTGCAATAAAATACTGCAAAAGTAAATCATGTACAACAATTGAAGTTGTGCAATACTTTAACGGTCAGTATCACTCTTAACGAGTAGTATACAGCCGACCTCTATTTATACGAGGATTTATTTGTTTTACGCCCATAGTGCTGCGATAGTAGATAAACTTCTTTGTCTGATAAATCTTTGGTGCATATTCACTCATACATTGATGAATTATCTAGCCCAAGTAAAAACTATCTATTAGTTTAAATGAATGTATTTGTATTGAAAACGCTTATAATGTATACTTTCTGTACACACTGGTATTCTTTCTTTTTCTTAAATAAATAAAAGTTTAAAAAACCAAGAATGTATCGGACTTACGTGAAGATGTAATAACAAATGGTTTCGATTGATGACAACATACATGTGTTAATTCACTATCATGACCGTATAATGTACGAATTGGCGTTCCAGTATCAACCTAATATACAAAACAAACAAATATTAACTTCATCATTTATCCATCTACAATGTAATTTTACCTGCCAAAGAACAGCTGATCTATCCCAACTTGCCGAAACAATTTGATCTTGTTGTAACCAATCGGCACATGATATAACATCATCACATTTTAACGTTAATAAAGGACTTCTAATTTTATGTATTTGTGGTGATGATTGTAATTCATCATATATATCATATGAATCATCTAATCCAACTTGTTCATCTGAACCACCATAAAATTGTTGTCCTAATGTCCATATGTGTAATTCTTGATCACCCGAACATGTTAAAATCAAACTTCGTGAGATATCTGAATGAAATCGACATGAATTCACTGAACCTGTATGACCGGTATATTGAATCAATGGACGACCTACAATAATAATAAAAATAAAAATATAAGTTAATAAAACAAATAATTGATAATTATAAATATACATATACCTGTTTTTCTCGCCCAAATAATGGCTGTTGAATCGGCTGATGCTGAACAATAGAGTTGTTGTTGAGAATATGATGATAATTGTACATCCCAAATAACGTCTTTATGTTCATTTGAAGATGAATATAAAAGATCTTGAGAATGATTTACATTTGTTGTCTGATTACGAATTGTATTAACAATTGATTTTGATATTGCACGATTACGTATCATTGGTAAAAAATTAGATGCACGTAAACCACTACTTGATGATTTTTTAGATGAACTAATGAGATGATCATCTGTTGAAACAACAGGTATATGTTGACTAATATAACAAATATACAAACAAATAATAGTAAATATAGAATATTTCTATTTTCCTTTTTTATACCTGACTATATCTTTTTGATGATTATTATTATTATTATTGAGATTAACGGCCGTTGATGTTGATGTATAACGTTCTAATTCTTTTCGTAAATGGACATTTTCAATTACAATATTTTCAAATTCTTTTTCAACTTCAGTTAATAAATGTCTTAGACGATATTTTCTTGAATCATTTGTTGATGAGGGTGATTGATGATATCGAATAGTAGACGATTCATCAAAACTTGTATTTGCCATTTCGAGGTCACCAGACATTGTTCGAAACTTACATCATCAATAAATGTCTAGAAATAGACAAAACCAAAACCAAAAATATAATTGACTTAAATCATAATCAAGAAAATAGATTCAAATTTTTTTTTCCTTCTATATTCAAAACATGTTCCTTCGTATACTCCGTATTAGTTAAACAATAAAGATATTCGATTTTCTGATTACTTTACAAAAAGTAAGCATATCGATATAACGTGTACAATTAGTTTTTCTGTATACAAACAGAAGAAGAAGAAGAAGAAGAAGAAGAACAAAAAGGAGCCCATATGACCATATAATGAAGGAAATATTTAACTGTTTCCTTCGACATTAACAAGATGTTAATGTTTATTTCTAGTGCTAATTATTCATTCTTTAACAAAATCTAAGATTAAGATCACATATTTTCTCTCTCCTTATATCAGATATTAAACGTTAAAAAATGTGGGTTAAATCAATCATGAACTAGGTTTTTTTTTTATAATAACTTATACTACGATTAAACAAAAAAAAGAAACATAATAATAATTGATATTGACGATAAAAAAATACTTTATATCCTCTTTCTCTCTCCCGCCAGATTCATATATCATCATCAATAACAACAACAAAAAAGAAAAATGGTCGATGACATTTTTTTTCTTCTTCTTCACAATTCATACTGTTGTTGTTTGTTTTTTTTCTTCTTTCAACAGAAACAAGCACTGGGAGGTCTAGTTAATTATGAATCAAACAAACACCTGGTCTAAACTCCCTGTCAAGGTTAGATAAACATCATCATTCTGACGATAAGTATATCATTAATATCTTTGCTTTCAAAAAACTATGACCCCAATAGGTTCGATCTGAATATAAAAAAATTCAAGAGATATGGATCTTGTCAAGAAATAATGATAATATTTGTTTTCTTTTCAAGGCTTTTTTTTCTAATCATCAATCACCTAGGTGTCATCATAACAAAAGTTAACATAAAATCTTAAACAAATTTTTCTTACTATCAATTAGATATTGTCGACATGTTTTTGATTTATTATTATATTAAAATAGGGAAGGAATTGATAATATTCAGATCTTTAAATTTTATTTTATTGCTGAAGTATTTTTACTTAAAAATCTGACAAATTTGTTCTAAATAAAGAAAATTGGCTTCTTATTGTTCTATGTTTTGTCTATAATTTAAAAAAATTTGGTTTTTCAAAAGAAATGTCTTTAACAAGATCAATTTGTTAAATAGTATACGTTGCAAACATAAGAAATACTATCGAAAAATGGTGACATCAATATGTTGTATATTTTACGACTACAAGTCAAAGAATTATAAACTTTTAATCAAGCCAATTCTCACATCCTGAGGAAGTGTGTAACATCTCATTTTAATCAGAAAAAAGGCTGACTTTTTATAGAATAGTATCTCAAGAAAATAAAACCTTTTGATAAAGGAATTCTTATCGTAGATGTCTATATTTCTATTCACTTAATTAAAACTTTAGTTTTATAGAAAGAAATTTCTATGTCTAATAGAGAGAACTCACAGATCAGCCATTTCGTGTAACTCAGCTATCACAAAGCTGAATGCATTACCGTTTTTAAGGAACTTCAAAATGTTATAAATTTTTGAGGAAAAGTTGTGGAGAGTTATGCAATCTCTCATTAAAAAGAAGAATCGAAGTTCTTCAAAACTGAATTTAAGCAAATTCTTGAAAAGTTTTTGTTCGGACGATATATCAAGATCATTGGAAGATACTATTTTGACAAAAAATCAAATTCGTCTCTCTTTTCTTCGTGATATTGTCCGAATAAAAAAGTTTGAGAAGTTTTCTTAAATTCAATTTTGATGAACTTCGAATCTTCTTTTTAATGAGTGAATATGCAATTCTTCACGACATTTCCTCAAAAAATTCCCTAAAACACGGTAACGTACTCAGCTTTTCGGTAGTAGAGTTATGTGGAATGGCTGAGATATACACAATCAATCAATGACAATGTTATTTAGAAAAAAATGAAAGAATAATAATGATACCATTCTGAGTGTTAACTTAAGTTCTTTTTCTTTATACTCATTGATGAGAGAGAGACACTAAAGGATGTCATCTTAAAAAGTAGTACAATAGATTGAGTGAAATATGTTTCATTTAGAGCTCATTAATTTTTTTGAAAAATACTTTCTTATTATGATTATTCATGTTGATAACAAAAAAAATAATAAAAATCAAAATCAAACGTCAACTATTTCGTTTTGTTTTGTTGTTGATTCAACATTTCAAACAAATAAAATTTTGATGAATTAACAATTTTAATATGTTTGAATTTCTTTTAATATTCTTTATGTAAATCAGAAGCAAATAGTCTAATGACTCTATTCATTTCAATCTAGATGATCCATCAAGACTTTTTCTGAATGTAGCTAAAGCCGAATTGGTTATTATTGGAGGAGAAGAAGAAGAAAAAAAAAATAAAAGAAGAGAAATGCTTTTCAAAAATAGCGATTAGACTAAAATGATACATTTTTTCCCAC